TGCATCACTTTAAAACAACAGATTGTGAATATTCTAAGTCCTTAATATACATTGAAAATTACATGTGTATGAAATTGTATTCTAGCACATTCAAACTGATTTAGTTTTGCAACACAGCATGAACTCTTTATCGATCCTAATGTTTCTGCAAATGTGACTAAACGTTTATTTCCATCTAGCCTCAAATGTCTTTAATTTCTACTTTTCTGATCAATTTCAACCCTCCCTGCCTCAAATATGACACGTTTTTTTTCTTTACACAGACTCACAATCTCATCTCCAGGCTTGCAGCTATCCACAAGGTCGGCCAGGAGGATGGCATCTTTGGAGCGAGGGAGTCGACCTGCAGCCACCTTACCGGGACTTTCCTGGATGGTGATCCTCTGGTAGTTCTGGTACACTGTCTGCAGGAAGGGGGCAGTAATTTTAAATCCTCAGACTGGGCACAGACCCGGCAGACAAACTACAACTTTCACAACCAACCATCAGCCAGCCCGGCCCTCCCCTCACCTCCTCCATGTTGATCTCAAACGGTCCCTGGGATTGACACTCCGGACAGGAACCCGGCTTCACCTCCTGGTTCTGGGACTGGAAGAAGGGCCCTAGCACGAAGTTACACTTGTTACAGTTGTACTTGACCATGCCGAGCTGAGGCAGGACGCCGGTGCAGCTGCTCACCACGCCGCTGGTCCGGATGAGCTGGTTCAGGTGGAGCTGCCTGAAGAGGACAACAGAAGAAGAAAACAGTTGGTAAAGAGCAGAAAGCTTCACCCAGTTAGCTCCTTCATGTATAGACGGCCCTTTTTGGAAGAGCTAGATGTGCCTCGCCAAGACAAATGTGGAGGTCTCGCCTTAGTTTCATTACTACTGTGACTTATTCCTTCAAGTTGAAAATACCTGTTGGGTCAAAACTGAAGTGTTACCTGAGTGATCGGATCTCCTCGACCAGAGGCAGGTTGCAGATGCGGACATGGATCTCGTAGGCAATGCGATCATATTTTGGGTACATGGCAAGCACAACTTCTTTAGCAGCTTCATCAAAAATCTGGCAAAGAACAATCAGACACACACCGGAGAAAATAATTGAAGGACACTCACATTTAACTTTCACAGCATTTAATATCCGCTAAAGTTAAATATAAATGCATGAACAAAAGGCACAGTAAAGGACATTAAGCAAGATGACAAGTTCACTAACCTTCAGCATCTCAGCTGGAGCTTCTGGTAGGAAGTAAGCCAGGACGTGCTCCCTGGCTGCGAGGTCCTCGTAGTTTACTACCAGGCTCTCCTTGTTCTCTGGATTACAGGTTCAGATTGATTCATTCAATCATTGCCAGAAATCAGCCAACAATTATATTTTTCCACACATTAAAGTTTACTGAAAACTGCACTACCTTTACACATATCGCTGATCTTCTCCTTGAAGACGTTGCGGCCGTTTTCATCCACGTGTGTGCGCAGGAAGTTCTTGAAGCGGTTGTAGATTTCCAGGCGCGGTGCCGCCATGGACACCCACTCCCTCACTGTGTGGCCCTGCAGAGTGTGTGAAAACGTTACAAAGACGTCCCAAACAGCCGGACCTGAAAAGCTTCTGTGTGCTAGCTCATCTCCAGTGTCATCACAAACCTTCATGTCCTCCAGATTCTCAATGCTCTCAATCATTTCCTCTTCCTCGCCATCACCTTCTGCTGCCCGCTCAGCCAGCCGTCTTCGCCGAGCAGCCGGGCGCTCGTCGTCCTCATCTTCGCTGTCTGGAAGCCAACAAAATGAAAGAATTAATCATAGCCTACACGTCATCACCCTGACAAATATCCACACACTCAAGCCTCACCGTAGAGCAATCCTGGCCTCACGCGCCCCCTGACTCCCTGTTGCCTGTCCCTCCTCCTCATGGCCTCCTCAGCGGCCGCTCGGGCTCCTGGCGACAGCTCTGACAGCTCCTCATCATCGAGGTCCAAACCCTCTGCCTCGTACTGATCCAGCTCCGGAATGGCACGGTAATCCCTGAACAAAGACAGAGTTGTTATGAAGCCCTAAAAAACCCCACAGAGTTCATAGCTTTAAGGCCATTTTAAATCCACGCTCACCTCTCCATTCCATCTCCAATCAGTTCCTCTCCATCTTCTTCCTCCTCCCCAGGCAAGGGTCCATCTCCCAGCAGCCCCTCCGACTCATCCTCGAAGGGCGGCAAGTCTCGTCCGGGGCTGGAGGTCAGGTCTCCCCTCCTGGAGGCTCGGCTGGGGCTGGTGGCCATGTGGTATGACTCTGAGGAATCCTGTCAACAACACAAATTCAGAACAAATAAATTATTCTTATATTTACTGCAAAAAGTAACCTGACAGCAAGAAAGCCAGTAGGTAGGGATGGTGATGAGGGCAGAACATTTTAATACATTTGGTACGTTGTGCCACTGCTGTCAAAGGATTATTGACTTCAAGTAGTTTTGATGTACATCAATTTGATTTTTTTTTTTTTATATTTTTTTTTAACTGGTAACTTTTAGTAGTTAGTTTTATCTAAGAAGGGAAGAAAAACTCACATAGGGCTGTGTGACTTCTTAAAGACCATAGATCTTTAAAAGTAGGTCTGACATGTTTATTACATTTAAGAATGTGGCGAGCCAACATTAGAAGTAAAATGTAATTTAATAGCTTAAGTATTACAGGACAGTGTATTTTAATGATCTTTTCATGTCTTTACTTGATTGAAACCAATAATTTAAAGCCCATCATGGCTTGTAAGTAAACTATAATCAATTATTCCAGATGTAAGGACTCATGCAAGGGGGTGTAAAGATTCAAAAAAGTTTTATTATTCCTCGGTTGTTACTTGAGACGGTTTACAGGTGCAAAAACAAGCTAACTGACCACATGGCAGGTCTCCTTTTTACAGCGAAGGAACAAAAAACAACAACGGGTTTTGGGTCCAGTCTACGAAGGTGAAAAACGGTTCTTAGCAAAACACGCGCAGGTAAAAACTTCATAAAGTATATTTTTAATTCTGATATCTGGGAAAGAATGAAGCGCTACATCAACTCTTGATGACGCTCTCTGTCATTGTTGTGACTCGACGAATGAACAAAGTTTATTTTCCCAAAAAAAACTAAAGCTGACTGGTAAAAACTGCTTCCTATAGATTAATGCGCCTCTGCCTACAAGCTGAGCACTCCCATTAGAGCACTGCGCCTGTTTTTAATGAGTTTACTCACCGCCATCGCTGCGTTTCTGTCTTGCTGCTGCTTCAAAAGCTACTTATTTCTCTTCCTGCCGTGAGTCGCTTTTCGCGCGAAAGGACCATGTGACACTCAAAGCCCGCGAAAAATCATGAATATTCAAGAGAGACGGCTGAGGTTTTGCTTTCTCATTGGTGTATTTGCCTGAAAGAGGAGGGAACTTGAAGCACAGTGCGTTCGCTTTAAGACAAGGAGCAGAACGACCGCTCGTCCTGTTGTGTGATGACCTTAATAAAAACTACTAGGGTCGAGCCGCAGAGTAAAACGAACGCACCTTTTGTCTGAGCGCGATGGAGGGGCAGGGTTTATTACGTCGTATCGTTTCCCGGGAAATTTTTGGCTGCGTTCAAATCCGCTTTATTTCCTCCTTCGTATCCTCACTACAGTAAAAATAAAGTGGCTTTTGCCCTCATGTGGATGTTTTTGCACTGCAAAAAATATTCACGTGCGTAAGTAACATCAATTAAATCAACACAAAAGGGATCAATAAGATAAAAATAATAATAATTTGTATGTACAGATGCGAAGAATGTGAGACAAGAATGAAACACAGAAACAACCAAACTTTAGAAACTTAAATAATAACAAAAACACATGCTTTAGTAAAAGTAATTCTATAATGCCAGAAAAAAAGTTAAAAAATATTCAGGGAAAACATCTGAAGCCTGAAGTGACTGCATTTAATTAATTCAATTGATTTAGTGAGGCCAGTTCCTGAAATTTTAGTTGATTCTGCAGCTGATCCCTGGATCAAGGAGCTGCAAAGCTGAATGCTCATTTGATAAATTGAGTTGATGGATGCAAGCCACTAAATAAGAAGGCAGCAAATGTGGAATAGCCTTATAAATAACAACAATGCAGTGGCTAGGGCTATAACACGACAAAGAAGACCGCTCAACCTGAGCATACAGCGTACAGTGAAAAGTACAAGCCTTTATATTGAATCAGTGCTCCATGATAGACAGAATCTAGCATCAGTAATGATTCTGACAAAGCATCCATATAAATCACATCATCATAATCAATTACAGACACAAAGTGCCTCAAAGGATCTAAACATATCCCTTTAGTACCAAAACAGGTGTGATAATGGCCTATCTGCCATGGCGTTGGGTTTTTAAATTTAAACAAGTGAATGAGTTTAGTGTCAAAAAGGGTGGGTTACTAACATGTGCAGACTGAAGAGCTCAGACCAGGCCAACATATCAGCTTGATTTGAATGTTAGTTTGCTCATTCAAAGCTGTGTGCTTTAAGCCATAGAAAGAGACAAGAAGGTGTAGCTGCAGAGATAGACTTTTATTTTGTAGCTATTTCTGATAGACCAGAGATAGCTACAAAATAAAAGCACAAGATGAGAGAGAAAACGATCATCAACAGTCAGAGGGATCGCCAGAACATTTCAGCTATGAAGCCGTTGTTCTGCACTCACGGGACCTTCAACAGCCTGCTAAGACCAATCCTGAATCCGGCCATGCCGTGTTAGTCACCACTAGGCCTCGTCTGGACCTGCAAACCTGAGGTGTGTTGCTCATGCCTTGGTCTAAGCTTTTCTGAGCCACACTGAAATTGCAGAAAAGGAGGAGGAGGAGGAAATTCAGCCATTCCTACTGGCTGAGAAGTTTTACAGGGTGACTCTGATTGGCTGGAGGAGTGTGAGCAGGGACTCCCTCTGTGCTCTCTCAGTCTTTGTCTGAGATTAAAAACACAAACAGTTCAGTCAGGCCTCACTGATCCAGTTAGTCCCAACAGTGTGCTGTTCTGCAGCAGAGAGCAGCTGTGATTAGGGACAATGCAGCTGTGGTTTGAACAGTCAACACTGCAAGTGCCTGCAAAATTTAACACAGCAGTGTGAATTCCCCACTCAGCAGACTGTAAAACTGGAAGATTAGAAATTTTGCAGGAAAAGACAAACAAAAAACAACCCAGTTTCCCCCCTTGCGTGTTGGAGCAAAATCAAGAGGTAAAGAAACCTGCTCAGTTTATGTTGCAGAGGGTGGAGAAGCAGAGCTGGCAACCACGCAGATCAGGAGGGAAGAGTGGGGGGAATACGCTGAATGGAAAAGTAAAAGCAGGAGTTTACAGCTGAAGAGGAGAAAGGTCCGTTTTAATCTTGCTGAGTGTAGAGAAGAGAGAAATGTAAAAGCAGAGGACAAAGAAAGGAGGGCTGATGAAGGTGTGGACGGTTAAATTGCAGTGAGCTGTGGAGAGCCGGCGGAGCAGAGTGGCAGCAGAACCGACTGTGGGCGGAGAGTGAGGAAGTGCGGTCAACGGGAGAGGAATTTAAAGTCTCATTGTTCTGGAAGAGCGGCGGCAGACGGAGTTGAGGAGCCAAGGAGACAGCTCACTGACGGACGTTGGACTACATGGACGTGAACTCAGCCATGGAGAAGGTAAAAACATCTGCATCAGTACAGATTGTTGTTCACAGATATTTCCAGATGTGGAGGTCAGTGGGTCAGAGGGTCACTTACTGGTATGGCACATCACATCAGTGTAAGGTCAGAAGGAACTCTGTGATGTGCCTAAGTGAGCTTTCCTGACATTTAGAGGTTTGAAATGTCTCAGTCAGCTCTGAGTTTGGATGTTTTACATTCAAGCCTCAGAAGAATCTCACATTTCTTCAACATTCATTCATCAGTGTTCAAGATCACAAATTTCTGTCTGAGAGAGGTTTTATTTTATTTAGCTACACAGAAAATCAAGTGTCATCTGAGTTGTATGATGTTCATTTAAAGGTAACCTATCCTGCTTTTCCTTCTTTCCTGTGATTATATGCAGTTGCAGTGGTGTATGCTCACGATAAACACAAAGTTTCACATAATGAGGTCAGTGTACGTGTGAGTAATTCCTGTGAGCAAAAGCCAAGACTTCAGACTGTTTCATTCTAGACTTGTATCCGTATGACATCAGATAAAGACAGGTGTTCTTAATATGGTCATCTCAGGTATACCTGAGGAGCAACCAATTAGAAGAAAGTTGCTTTAAAATAGGGATGTCAAACATGAGGCCCAGGGGCCAAAATCCAGTCAGGAAACATTCCAATTCAGCACATCTTTGGAAAATATAACAGAGTACATAGACTTAGTCTTTTAACTGTATTTTCATACGTTTTACAGCTTTTCCTGCTGGTAAAGACCTCCTCCTCTGCCATTCATACTACACCAAGAGTAATTAAGCAATTGATTTTTAAGACGTTTCTTATAATTACAGGACAGTCTGAGCTACCAGAGCTTTCTCTGTAATTTTACACATTTATTTCTTACAATTTACTGCAATTAAATTCTGACAGATTTCTTTCATTTAATACAGCAGTGTTTCTTTATCATGCAGAAAAACAGAGACATGAGTTTGATGGTTTAAAAGGAGATGGACAGGTAATGAATAAGAGAGAATAAGATAGTGTGATATAAATAAGGATTATTCTGAGCTCTGTGTCATGCAAAGTGACTCTTGTAGAAGCCGAAAACATTTTAATAATAGTAATCATAGTAATAATAGTAAGCTGGAAAGCAGCATTAGTGAATCTAACACAACCTGCACAGCTGCATCCACTGTCCACACTGCACTCAGTTTTGTAATGCTGAACTCAGTGATGGCACCCTGTAACTTTAAATGAATAATGGGCCACGTACACACTTTGAGCTTACACACACTTAACACACTTTACAGCAATGTGATTTCTGATTTCAGATTACATTATTACATCAGATGTCCTGATGAACCTCCAAACAAATAAAAACAGAAGTCCAGCTTGAGTCGAGCTTTCTGCAAGCTTTAGTCACTGTGATCAGTTCAGGTCATGTTTATAAGTGCTGTAGGCTAAAGTCAGTTTGGACACATCTCTCTGCAATCTGAGTCTAACAGCTGGAGGTTTCTATTTCAGTCAGCGAAGGTAATCCATGACCACGAGGTCCTGATCTGCCTGCTGGGTCTGTGCTGGCGGCACTTTGTTTCCCACAGATCCCTCCTGTAATTCGGCCTCTGGCTGTTTGTCCAGAGGTCACATCAGTCTGAGGATGATAACCTGACAGATCAGCGTCACCTGTTTGTGGTGTGAGCCCTGTCTTTATACCCCCAAGCTGGAAAAACCGCCATCACCAGCATTGAAATAACCTGCAATGTGCCCCCATACATGCACCC